AAATAAGGCCTTAGTAATGTAATCAGGGTATAGAATACAGTTAGATTACACAGTTAAAGGGTACTTGGATTCCCCAAAAATCTAGAGTGCCTAATCTTGTGATGCTCTGAGTTTTGTCAATTCTCATCGATTTTCATGGGAGCTGAGGACACTTATCACCTCACAGCTGGTGTTGTTAGTTGGGTTCTCTTAGCTGTATTTTGGCCAAAAACTCCACTGATGAGAAATGTTCTAAATCACTCCTTTCAACTGAATATTTCCTGGAGTACATTACAGAATTAGTGGAGCCATGAAACTGCACATTTGGCAGCTGGGCACATATTGTACTTTGTTTCCTTACATTCTGTTAGACCGGGCATTGAGCTTCCTGACAATATTTCATTTTTAGGAAACCCAGCAAGACTAAGATGCACCTTGACACACAGAAAATAAAGGACATTGCTAAAAACTAGGACAATATGTCGATTGAAGGTTCAGATCATAATTGATAAGTTTTTTTTTATTGTTGACTCTTTGCTGAATAATAGATTGGTATTCTAATGTGTTTTGACTGGAGCTATTTGTCTTAAAGCTGCTTTTTCTCTTGGATCCTTTGTAATATTAGTTTTTCTAGGTTGATTTCTCATTCATAAATGCAGAGGAATTCCCCCCCCCCCCAATGTTGAACGCCCTCAGATGAAAGCCTGTGTTCACTTTACAAATTGATGGAAGGCTCCAAAGGGCTGTTTTTGAGAAGAAATATGTAATATTCACGAGCTGTTAACATGTAGAATCCACACCTGTTACTCAGTGCACAGTGGTGGGAGAAAAAATAAACAAATTATTCAGAGGGGGCATATGCTGTCTATTTTATCTAAAAGTCCATTTTCAGAGTTCCTAAATCAACATTGCCAGCTGATGGAGGGAACATTTTCTAACTTATCTCAGCAGATATGTCGAATGTTATTTATTTGCCATAGACGAGTGAGCCTTGGCAAGCATACATCCCATACTGGGACAGCTACATTTCATGTTTCCACTGCAATCTCCTCACAGTGGCCTCTCTGAAAAATACAGTCATGATGTTGAATAATGCAGGGCCACTGTCCTTCCTTCACTTTCCTCCAGTGAATAAACTGATAAAAGATAAAGACTTGATCATAATGGTGTGGAGGTGATTCGACTGTATTTAACTTTTTAAAACACAACAAGTATGGTTACATTGCCCCTCCCTCCTTGATCCATCTGCAAGAGCTTTCGCTGCTTTCCCATTCATTCATTGCCTTCCCTATACTTAGCAGGACATTCTTCTCTCTGTTCTCACTATGTTCTTCCCTCCTTTTCCTCAGTATGCTCTTCTTTCATCAGATACTAGTGAACTTCACTTCTGTTAAGTCAGTTAGAATTACAGCTAAGGTAACTCGGGTGACATGTTTGAAAGATTAATCATGATGTAGTCTTTGAGCATGTTTTGTAGTCACCACCATAATTACTAGAAGGCAAGGACTATAAGAAATGTTTCCAGATGCAGAGGTGAAAGGGAAAATCAGATAATTTAGAATTAAATCTTACAAAGGGGACGAAACACAACCTTCACAAAGAAAGCTATGAATATACAGGGTCAGATTGTCTGGTCTGTCTGGGCTGAGCTTAATGTAAGACTGGTGGGAAGGGACAAAAATAGAGTTAAGCTATCACTTCACCCCGCAGGTCCTGGGCCTGGCTGGTTGCCAATCCAGTCTCCAGCATAAATAAGGCCTACCTTGGAGCGCCTCTGATTTATGCTAGCTGCTCTTGATTCCAAAAGGGAATACAAATGTCCCAGCCATGCTCCGTTTTCCCTGACCACTCCCCATGTGCTAGGGGTCAAGACAAGAGTGGCCTAGGAGCCACTGCATCATCTCTATGCATCCAGAAGATTCCCTAATATCAGTGAAATTTTAAAGGGGCTGGTTAGGCCTCCACAACAGTACAAAGCAGTTGGAGCATGTCTGGATATAACTCATATTATAGCAATGAGAGTTTAGAGCGTGAAATCACTTTCCACCTCCAAATATTTTGATTCTAGACAGTGATTTTTTTAATGTCTCTGGCTATTACAACTAGTGTGAACAACCAGTCAGCCTATTGTTATTTATCAATAGTGCTTCTTTTTTTTTTTAATTAAACCAGCATGAAAGATTCAAGGAAAATGACAAGATTCCTTTGTAAATAACCTTTTATAATGTCAGTTTCTTCCAACTGTAGGAATCATTCTGGAGACACCAATACTTTCAACGCAAAGCTCATAAATATTTAGATCGAGATTTTTAAGTAACAAAAAGGAGAGGGAATTAAACGGAATATAAAATACCCTTCACTTTGTATGTAATAATAGTTTGTGTTAAACCCATCAAAATAACTTTGTAGTTCAACATCTCTTCCTAAAACATACTCCACTTAACGCTTTACTTTATTTGTTACTTATTGTGAAAATATACATCACTGTCGTAAATGAAATAACGTATATTTGATATCAAGGTTACATAATTAAAATATTTTAAGAGTTTATTTTTAAAGAGTTATTGATATGGATAGCCTACTCACACCATACATGTTTTTCAGTATCCTCTTGCCTATATTTTGTTTAGTTTTCATGAAAACAGCCCTTGTTTATTACAAGTAAATCAACTCTTATTCCATATTCCCCTCCTGGTGCTATAGACTCTCCAGACATCAAAACTGATAGGTTGATTTTTTTCTATAGGACTACTCATAGAGTCAGGGTGTTTGTCCTGGAAAGGTCTGTCAGGAAAGGTGACTGAACTAGGCCCTAAAATGGCAACAGTTCCATTTCCAACCAGATATCCTTAGTAATGAAGAATGTTGGGAAAATATAGAATAGTTTGTAGATCTGTCTGTACAATTGCTTCCAAATTGAATGTTTTTAAAGTTTTCCTTGAGGCATCAGCTTATATTATTTACTTATAATGTAGTAGCATCCACAGGCCCAATAAGGTAACAAGGGAGGGATGGAGTTGTAAAGGATTTGAGGTTCTCATTGAATTGAACAATCTTTCTGGATTTTAATATTTCACTAATGCTCAATAAATACTATTAACTGTTATATGTTGATGTGTGTGGTCAGAGAGGCGGCTTAATTTTAGTAGTTTCCTTGGGGGAAGAAAAGGGCCCTTATATTTAATTTTGTTTATCATTTGAGTGGATAGGAACCTGTGAGGAATTGTAGCTTCCATAAGAGAAATGGTGTTTCTATGGATCCTTTAATTAATTCTCTGTTGGAATTCAAAGGATACCCGGGAAAAACAAAATTTGAAAATACGGTTGTCACGATAAGAGCAATCTCTCTGTTAACCCAGTTGGGGTAATACCTTTGGGGGATTTGAGTACTTCATAAGACATTGCATTTTTAATCATAGTCCTATTTTATTTTTAAAATTCAATATGTTGTGAGGTATCTCACTCTCCCCAAAACAACATCCCAGTTGTATTAGAACATTATTCTTTGAGGGAGATGGCTCCATTAGTGATATCCACATTTTCAAGTGCCCCTTTCTCGCATGTTCCCTTTGGATTAACGTTATTATTTTATTATGATTAGATGTAGCTATTATTTAGTTCTCATCTGTAGATCTCCAAGCACCTCACAAAGGTGGGTAGGTATCATTATTCCTATTTCACAGAATGGGAAAGTGAGTCACAAAAAAGTCAAGCTGCTTTCTTCAATTTCTGAATTGAAATTCCACTGCCCACTGCAACTTTAGGTCTAGTGGTCTTGTTTTAGCCTTGCACAGTGCAGAGATGACAGTTCCTGAAATTGTAAACCATTATTGTTATTTCCCTCCTTTCAAATGTTAATTGTGAAGAAGGAGTAGTTCACGACTATGTTTACTTAATGACTATGTTAATTTTCATTACAACAGAAATCCATGTTGTTCATTCATTGTCAACTGCATGCAAATATCTCAGTGGTGTAGAGAATATAAACGTTATTAGTGTTGCAACCATCTTCTTAGGATTGATTTTATTTGTTTATCTTGTTACTTAAATGTAGTGCTTCTTTTTTTTCAACTAGGAAAAACCTCTTGTGTTTTATTGTCACTGTCTATCTGAGAGTTTATTTTTCTTATGAGGACTGGCAAAATATGTGTAACAGATTATAGTTGACTGATACATACTAACATGATATAACCCTCAGATAGATTTCAATGTGGCTAGGTAGAGTTTTACTAACCTATTTTCATATTTTGCAGTAGATGTTTTATAGCATCTGTTCAGATAAAAACCCTTTGCTTGATTCTCATTATGTAACGCTATCTCTCTCTCTCCATAATCTTTCTGTACGTCTTCCTAATTTTCAACCCCCCAATACTCTTTGCAGCAAAACACAACACTTCTGTCTTTAGGAGTCAGTTAATTTAGCCTCTAAATGAATATTTTTGTAGGAGTATTATTCTGTACCTTGCTGTTCTCCTTACTATTATATCATTCCCAATTAAATATCCTGTTTGTAACCCTCCATGATGGGCTAGTCAGGTGGCTATCATTTGACACATATCGATGTCCACTGAAAAGTTAAAGAACTGACAGGGGAGGTCCAGACTTAGGCCTCGGTTTGACTATAAATTGGTGTAAATTTGCAAGAGAATAAATATTTTCTGCCTAACAATTTTTATTGTTTTCTCAAACAAGGGAATTATTTTGCAGTAGGGGAAGGTTTGCCTGATTTTTGGGCATGAACATTTTGCACAGGATTAGTGATTGATTAAATTAACTAACCATACTGTACATTTAGAACAGTGGGTTACATCCCAAACACTGTTTGTCCTTCATACTGCATTCAAACCATATGTCAGATCTATTAATTATAATTAATACTGACATAAACTTTAATTTAGGTAACAAGGAAACAATATATGGACACATTGGAAGACTATAAATATTGGCAATATAATATGTTCTTCACACTTCGTACTGAATGAGAGCTATAAATACTGGAATGTCTTGCTTTCTTGTTACAGGTTTTTCATTATTCCTATACGGCTTCATATGTGATTTATAACATACATACAAGGTAAGTTATTTTGTTTTTTCAATACAATATGATTAAGTTTCAATGTTTAAAAAATGTGGTGGTGTTAATGTGTTCAAGTAAAAATGTTTACATTTTTTCAAGGGAAGTTTGGGAGTTAAACCCTCCAGAAGTAGAGGATTCAATTTTACAGTATGCAGCATGGGGTGTACAAGGAGAGCAGTTGGTAAGAACAGTCATTTAAAATGCTATGCTAAAAATAGTATTGTAATATTGTGCTAACACTCCACCCCACACAGATTACTGACCAAAAAAAAAACACTTAAAGGGAAGTTTCTGTTATTGTAGATTTACTGAGACTAGGGATTATAAAACCTGCAAGGTCTAGTCTTGTTGTTGGTTTTGGCCCTGATTCATAAATTCATGTTTTTAAGTCTGTTCCTATTCAGCCAAACACTTAATTATGTGCATATGGATGGACTTAAGCATGTGTTTTAAAGTTAAAGTAATTTGATTAAGTAATTTGTTGAATCAGTCTTTTTGCCAGGCACTAGGAGAGGACTAAGGTTGCAGATGAAAAAAGTTTTCAGGTGCAAAATCTGTGAAAATCTTGGATAAAATACAACACATTTGACACCCAGAGTGGATCTGACAAACAAGATGAAATTGCATTGGTTTCAGTTTGTGTGTGAAATTATTGTTAAAGGTCAGTTAAAATCCATAAGAACAACAATACTTTGCACATCTATATTGCCTTTCATCCAATAATCTTAATGTGTTTTACAAATAAGTATTAACTTTTACAAAATCCCAGGAAGTAAACAAAGAAAAAAATCTTGATTCAAGAAGCAGCATTAATGTTAATCTATATTTTTGGGGTCTCGTATGTGAGTTGGTGCATAGAAGAGGAAGGTTTAAGGAGAATAAGGAAAACTCAGTTCTCAGAATGAAGAAATCACAGTCCTGGTCTTAATGGTCTAATAGTCTCATTACTGCCTTTAGGCATGAGCCTGCAGCCCCTTCATGCACGGAACTTCAGTGAGAATTCTGCATGCAGATTGGTTATAAATTGGCCACTTGGAGAGGATAACCTGTTGCTTGTGTCATTAATCAATATGGTGGAGATGGAGAATGTGCCTCTGGTTGGGATCCATCGCATTAAGCACATGGGGGTGGGAAGCCAGAAGTAATTACATTCATCTGGAACATGCTTGGCATTCTTTAATAATTAACCACACTAATTTATCAATAACCAGCGCATAGTGACAAGATTGATAATAACAAATACATACGTTATTTACTAAGCACTGCACCATGTACATGCTTGACAGGTCAGTAACGAGTGTGTAAAACTTAATAGGAATTAAGTGTGTCATATTATTTTTAACTGCAATTCATAGGAAGCTTTCCAGTGCTGCACTGTGCAGTAGATTAATATGTTAGAGTATAACCAAAAAACTGTAGGTGATGATTGCTGCTAAATCAACATTATGTGGTCCTAAAATACATCAAAAAGAGTGGCACATTTAAAAATTAAACGTTAGAAAAGTAACAACATGGAATGTATTTTGCCTAGATTGTCACTGGAAATTTCGACCAACATTTTCAAACATGGGTGTCTAATAGGCTTCTGTGGGAGCTTCTGTACCTCTGAAAATTAGACCACTTATTTAGGTGCCTAAATATGAATTTAGGTGCCTAAGTATGGATTTAGGTGCCTAACTTTAATCACCCAAGTCTGAAAATATTGGCCATAATTTCAATGCAATAAAGATGACAGTAATCATCTCTGATAATGTTACAAAGTTAATGTGCTTTCTAAATGTGTTCAGCACGAAGGCCTTTATGCTACCATTTGCTCTGCAGAATTAGAAAAGAAGAATAACTTCCATTAAAACTCATAATCCTTTGTGCAGCCCACCAAGTATTATATCCCAGCTGCAAAGGGTAAAATAGATCAACATTTGTCTATTAGCAAAGCGTTTCAGCACTTTCCAACAAGAAGGAAATGTTGTTTGCTGGGAGAAGGAACAAAAAGGGTGTATAGCAAAAAAAAAAAAAGGCCTATGTCATAATTGTCCCCTACCTACACCCTGCCCCCAGGCATCCCGGCAAATACGAAAAGGCGGAGGAGCATGTATGCATAAATTGCTGTTGCTCCTGTGAGAAATAACAGCTGCCTCTTTAGTGGAGGGAGGGTGGCACAGATAATTCTAGGAGAGCAGGTTATAGGGGAGCCTGTCCTATTAAGGGCACGTGGTACATGGTGGCCCCCAATTATAAGCATCTTTCACTGTACTGGTATCAGGGTGCTGCGTCACTAGGCCCCCAGACAAAAGATGTCATGCAAAACAAGCACCAGATACATTAGATAAAGAGAGTACAGCCAAACAGCAGCAGCTCTGCATCATGAACAGACACCAGTAACAGGCACCCAAAATAAGTGTTTGTATTCACATAACTGATTGATGCAAATGGCATGGAGACTCAGGCTGCCAAATATGCCACTGATAAGGCATATCGTTGTCTATATAGATAATAACAGATCCACCTGGTCCACATACTAATTCAAAAAAAACCCTACATGATAATGATCCATAGCCACCCATAGCCGCACAGACTCACTACAGATGCAAATCACTTATTGTCAGCAGGGACACACACTGGAAAATGGTGAGGAACAATGTTACGAACATATGTAGACACAGAAATCACACACAAAAGACCCAGCAGTTCGCACAAACCTGCAACCATTGAACGGGAACTAGACTGGCAATGTGTAGGTGACCTTCAATTCTAAGAGGATCATCACCATCCAGAAGTACACAACACTGCAGCAATGCCCGTCCATGGTCAATCATGCACAAACAAAAGGCATGTACATAGCACAAACCTGCACTTGTCTGTGGATAAGCCAAAGGATCGGGGTTAAATCAAAGTGAAGTGTGGGAGCTGGATGGGCGTGGATCACCTGTTCTGTATGAACTGGCCATGAGGCAAGTTAACATATTGCTGTCGTTTTTGTTATTTGTTAAGCACCAGCACTGTACTTGGTTCTGTACAAGACACAAATAACACAAGCTATGTAAGAATCTTAAATTTGGGTTAGCAGGGGAGGGGGACTCAGTAGAGGCTTCAAATAGGAGAGAAACTTGGTCCGAGCATACAAGGAAGACGAAGAAAGGAAACATTAGGAATTGTTTGAGCATGGACTAGTATGCTTGGCCAGGAACAGCTTATTGTACTAAAGAATGTGGCCACCGTGAATTCATACGTACAGTATGAACCGATGACCTTGTGAAAATAATACAAGGAGGCTCAGATACTATTTACTATTTCTAGGATTGCCTATGGAATTAGCATGCCACATGCTGCTAGTGCAGAATGCCAAGGTTAGGTTTTTATCAGCAGTGAGATAATTGGATCATCCTGCCATTGTTTTGAAGTTACTGCAGTGGCTGCTTCTTTGGTTGTGAGTTATTTCAGTTTCTTGTTATTTACCTAGAGTGCATTATTTTATACAGACTAGGACAAGAGCTCAGAGGAACAGCTGTTATTTGAGTCGTGATATTTTTGTGGTAAAATTGAAAAAGTTTGCAAACAGTTTGGGAGAGCAAACTTTTACTTCATCAATTAATGTACTTTAATATCATATAGCCATTCACTTGGAAAATTGTCTTAATTAATTGAGCTATCCTATCTCCTAGAACTGGGAAGGGACCTTGAAAGGTCATCGAGTCCAGTCCCCTGCCTTCACTAGCAGGACCAAGTACTGATTTTGCTCCAGATCCCTAAGTGGCCCCCTCAAGGACTGAAATCACAACCCTGGGTTTAGCAGGCCAATGCTCAAACCACTGAGCTATCTCCCCCCTCTTAGAGCTTATGCTTTCAAAATGCTATTTTTATCACTATTAACAATGAAGACACCAATCCAAGCCCTTAGTTTTATTTGTCATGGAATGTAGGGGAATCGGAGGGGTTTTTTCAGTCTGAATTCAGATCCAAATTTTGAAAAGGATCTCTTGATTTATAACCTGATTTTGTATAGCACCCATCACCACAGTGATAAGTGCCTCCCAGGTAAAATAGATCAACATAAAAAGATAACTAGTTAACTTCATGGAAACTTGTGCTCTTCTCGTTTTTCTTGAGTAGTGCTCTCTTTTTGTGGGGGAAGGAGGGAGGTATCCAAACCCAGTTATGATAGGAAGGCTTTATCAAAGACGAGAGTCTTGTGATGTGCCCTAAAGGGATTCAGACACTGGATTGGTCTAATTTTTTCTGAACTTTTTTCCTCAGCCATATCCCCTCAAACATTTTGAACCAATAGAATTGAAACCTTTGGGGGTCATCCTTCAGCTAGTGTGTATTGTTATAGTTGAACTGAATGGAACTTAATGGAAGTCACGGGAGCTGACTCTGCTCAGATATCCCCACTTGATAATTTCTATTCCAGTGACATGCGGCCAGATTTTTAAAAGTATTTAGGCACCTAAATATGTAGATATCCCAACAGGAAAATTTGCAAAACATCCTAGGTGCCTCATTTCAGTGGGAGTTAGGCAGCAAAGCATTTTTGAAAATCCGAAGAAGTGTCTATCTGCATCTTAAGGAGCATACGGGCTTGTATACATGGGGAAGCAATGCACATTGGCGGTGTGTGATTTCTAAAGATCACTAATATGTTGCACATTAATTGATCCATGTAGACGCTGCTGGTGGAATTAAAAGCTCCCTAGTGCACATTAACATAGAATTGTTTCAAATAGTACTATGTTAAAGCGCACTAGGGAACTTTTAGATCACACCAGCAGGGTGTGAGGATCTCATGGGTCAGGAACCAGGTCCCCAGGCAACATTTGCATCCCAGCCATCATCAGGCGTTTGCTAGTTACTGTGCGCTGAGTGGCTCATATAACCTTGGCTCCACCAGAGGCACTACCCCTGGGTGTCCTGATTGGAGGAGCACCCAGCCCCACCAATTCGTCTGGATGCACAATTTAATCTAGAAGGAAGCACAGGAAGTTGTCCGTACAACTGGATGACTTCCCAGCTGTCTGCTACATCAAACCCTGAATTCTCACCTAACTTCTGAGCCATGCTATCCTGACCTGTTGTTACCTCCTTCATCCCTGACGTGTTCTTGTTTCCTGCCCCTGGTCTCTGACACCTGGCTTGACTCCCAACTCCGAGTCCAGCTCTGACCCTTGGTCAACTCCTGACTACTGCTCTGACCTTTAAGGT